GCGAACTCGCCGGACCGACTGCAACTGAGGCCCCTCTCTTGTTGCCTCGCCTTCTCATTCCTCTTGCTTTTCTAGCCTTTCTCCCACATCCATCCCATACGTCGTTCGTCCAGGCACAAGCGCCCTCTCTTCCCGTACGTTATATTTTTACCCTTATCGCCGGCATTTCCTTTCTTCAGTTCTCTGGTTCGCCAGTCTGATCATCCCCCGCTACTACATCGACACCCTTCTTTGTCTCCCAGCTTACTTTCTTACACGCCAGCTCGCTTGTTCAGCAGTTAAGTCGTCTCGTCACTCTCCTACCCGCTCCTGCGATCGACCGACAATTTCATTGTGCACTCTCGTGTTGTCTCAGCTCGAATCCTTCTCTCATCCGTACTCTCGCGCACTTCTATCACACGTGCCTAATTTGCGAAGCAAAGTATACTCTCTCTTCCCTGTGTTCCATTTTTAACCCTTATCACAGACATTCACGCACCTTCGGTTGTCCTGTCAAAGAGACGTCCGATTGCCAGCCTCGTGCGACATGGTCGTCTTTCTTTAATCTTTCAGATTAATGGCCTTCATTCTCTCTTGTCTACTAATTTGCTTATCTATTAATATCAGTCGCCTGTGCGAACTCGCTTCCGCTCACCCACCAGTACCATTGGGCACTCTCCCCTAGTCTTGCCTTCTCAACTTACTCGCTTATTCTCCTTACTCTAACCCGTCTCGTATGCCCCCACCAAACGCGCCCTCTCTTCTCAATCGTCACATTTTTTCCCTTCTCGCAAGCATTTCTCGCCTGCAGTCCTGCGGTCCGCTCGCTCAACCGCCCGCCCGCCTCGTGCCGCATCGTCGCCCGCGTCGTCGCATCGCGTCGCGTCGCTCCCATTGTCAGCGCGGCCGAGACATCCCGCCCCGCCCACCCCGGAGCCTCGCCCGTTATTATTTCTCGCGGCGGCGGCGACGGTGGGGCGATCTCGCTCCCCCATTCTCCTCCGCCTTTGTATGCCGGATGGGAAATTAATGGCCGCTGCTCAGCGGACGTGAAATGCGCGCGCCGCGCCGTTGCGACAGCGACCGCCCGCGCCTCCTCCGCCCTCCGCCCCCGTGTCGTCGCGAGAGGACGGTAACGGTGTGAATGGGTCGTAAATTGGCTGATGACGTGAAAATGACGACGTTTCACCCACTAATAATCCCCATTCCCCCCGAGTGCAACGGTCGCGTTTTGGGGAAGCGGGAGTCGTCGACCTCGCGAACCACGTGGTCCGTAGGCGATATCTGGACTCTCCCGATTTCTAGAAGGCACTTGGCGGCTAACAGCTCGTTTTTTTCTCTCTCTCGGGGGAGATAGCGTTTATATGATTAGTTAGAATTCTCGTTTGGTTTCAGGATTCCTGTACGGTTCAGGGCGGGAAAACATAAGTATAATGATGGTTAACAAGGTGGAAAGAATGAAAAAATAATAAGGTCACATTAAAAAGAAATTCACGAACATGGCCGGCGAAACCTCTTTCTATTGGAGCAAGCTTCCAATTAACGATTGTATAAAACAGTAGAGAAATATTAAAGACCTCGCAGTGGAAAAGCTCTGCAATGTGGGATAAAGAGAAAGCAGGGACGATAAAAGCGACGGAGACAGTGTGCTCGAAAAGTTAAAATAATTGTAACAATTTACAAACTAATTAGATTATTTAGTACAGTCTACAAAAATAATATTGCAGTTTCTGAAACGATACAATGACAATATCGACTTTGGATACAGTCTGTATCCAAACTGTAAACTAAGATCCAAACCTCCCCAATCAAAGCGCGCATTAACGCCCCCCCCCCCTCTCCACACTTCTCTCGCAACGCGAGCGTCCTCCGCTCTGCTCTCCTCGCCGTCGCGGACAACAATTATCGCGATGCTGAGTGACGTGTTAGCACGGCAGCGCGTCAGCCGTAAACCCTAATTGACAGCCCGTTTGGAGCGCCGAGTAAACCTCCTGGCGCGGCGGGGGCGGTGGGGGCGGCGCCTTGGTGGCCGTCGGTCGCCCGCCCGCCCCCGAGCAGACACTGCGGGCGGCGAGGGATGCGCCGAGTCGACCACCCTGCCGCGACCGCCATGCGCTCATTGGGATAGCATGGACTGAAATACTCAACCATCATAACAAACAATAGCTCTAGTGCGAGTAGCAGCAAGTCAAGAACAGGGTGCCCCGACGATTCTCCCAACCAAGTACGTAGCTGTGTCGGACGATGGGAACACCAGGAGAAAAAACAGAGAAGAGAGTATTAGAAGAGATAAGAGAGACAGAGTATTAGAAGTCGTCAGTGAAAACCACAGGCTCAAAGTCTTAACTGAAGTAACAGTGGTACCTCTAACCGGAAATTCGTAGGGTTCAAGCCGCGAGTGGTGGATTTTCAACACTAGCTAGATAATTAGCTGCTGGGTAGGGGAGTATTCTAGCGGCTAGCTGCTCTGATCGGTCGTTTTCCATGTTTTTTTTCTGACAATGCGAAGGGTCACGGACCACACGCAATCTTTCCTTCTCCTTACTTGTTCTATTCTCACCTATACACACTTACACGCACTACACTATCGCCCATGTCGGGAGTCCTCTCTGGAGCTTAGAGCTTATCCCGTCTGGAGCGGTGCTCCGCTGATGGGAGATACCTGTAGGAGGAAAGCCGACTTGTAGGTAGGCGACGGATCTCACCATCCATCCTGGGAAGAACACCGTCACCTCCATTGCGAAAATATTCACTGCACTTAAGGGAAAAATGACCGAGTAGCCGCTGAACGCGCCCGAAAATACGAAATAACCATTCAACCAATTGTGTGTCAACCATCTATACAGAACTAATCACGGACGCGCGGGACAGGAGCGTCGTGGTTGCACTGAGGGCCGGAGGACAGCGCGAACAGTCACACGAACAGCACCGGGGCCCTGCACGGCGGCCGCGCGCAAAGGCACAAACGCCCTCTGTGCGGGCAGGCGGGCCGGGCATGTGCTAATAGTACGCGACCGGACGCGGCCGGAGCGAGCAACCGCCGAAGAATACACTCGCTCTTTGTGACCGCTCGCGGCGGATGGCCCGCGGTTTCTTGCCTTTTTGTGTCTTTTTCTACGCCCGTCGTTCATCGGGGGAAGAGAGGAGGAAACGAGCAATAATTTAGGATAAGTGAGGAAGTTGTGAAGCGTTTCTATGAATGCGAAGTCTCTGTTGGTATTTTGTGTACGCTGTCTCGATCTGCTATTGATATTTGTGATCTCTTTGTATGGTTTCTCTATTTAAAAACTGTAACTGATTGCAGTAATCTACTACGATGAGTAACAGGAAATAGGAGCATACTAGATCCATCATTATAACACTGACAAAGTACGCAGGATGTGTTGCGAGTGCTTTTTCAATATTTTTTATTTAAGGTCGCATCAACATCTAGGTCATTAGCGACCACCATTGCGTTTAACGGTATGGTAACTATGAAAATGGTATGATATGGTGATGATAGGGAGTAAAAGGACAAACACAATTACAACCATGCCCGAGGTGGGACTGGAACCTGCGATCCTTTGGTCCGAAATCGCTACGGCACTACTTCCTGTACGATCTCGGCCATTCATACCGATGAGTGGTTTTTGTTTTCCTTATTTGTATCAAAGAATTGAGATTATACAATAATTGAAACATTTCATTTACTTTTGATACGGAACTGACACTCTTGACGGCGTTAATAATTTTGAATTTTCATTATTTTTAATATATTTTTGTGAAATAATGAAGAGAGTTTTGGAAACAATGAGTATTAGGTATTTAAATCGACCGTCATATTTCAAAAATTCAATTTAGGTTGTATTCACTTACACTCTACCTTATACATATTCAGTACACACTTAGGAAAAACTTATTTTAAATGCTCTTCGACACGCTATATTTCAATGAAATAAAAATCTTTGTTATGCAAATAACGCAGGACGTGTTCTGAAATTAAGAGCAGACACCGATATTCTCCTCCTTTCTACCATGGAATTTTTTATGTTAAAAAAATGCTTCACCACCCAGTAGGTAGTCCTTGCAAATTCCGATCCAAAATTTCTGTCATTTTGCGACTAAAATAATTTACGAGGTGATAATTTGAATACAGTAAAAATACTCCAAAAACAATGTCATATTATGATCTATTTGAGTCTGTAGCGATTAGAACTTTTAAAAATATTAAATTCAGAATACATATTGCACGTTGACTGGCGACTCTTGCGTTAATTTGCAAGTGTGCACTTACGCGTCCACCCATATATTTTTTATGTTGGGAAAGATAACGATACGATTACTCTGTCTGATGTTTCTATCATCAACTAGGCTCTCTCAGTAGCCTCGATGTAGAACGTTGCCAGGAGATTCCCAAGCATAAACTCGGCCAAAGGTCGTTTCACAACTTATATTCAGATGTCAACCGTTTTCATTACGGAAGAGGAAAGCATTGCACATTTTAAGTGCCCTTCACGGATATTATCAATGAAGAGACATGAGCCAACAAGACCGCAGTCATTTTCTATGCAAGTATTCCACAGTTACCTCCATAGACCAGTTATTACCGGTGAAAAGAATTTGTATCTTCCGCAAGTTCAGATTTGAACGTGTGTACCTAGTGAGCCAAGAGCAAACGTTTCATTTACAAACACCACAATATCAAAAGTATGCATTCTCTGGATATTATTTCCAAATTAAATTGGGTTCCATTAATTAATAAAAGAAGCACCGATGTATATAACTGGGAAGGGCGACTTGTCTGGAAATAATATGATTACATTCAGAACTAAATAATATGATTTATTTGCATTGCATTCTGTAAACCACAGATAGCCTTGATTGACCAAATAAGGAAGAAACCCGGGTTCAAAATATCCGCAGTTGAAGGTGATTTAAAGAAAAAATTACATTTCTGATATTGATTTAAATAAGCGCTTATTATTTCACTAATAATCTTTCAATTATGAATTACGTACATAACAATACGAGTTAGCTCCTACCTTGTCATACACGTGAATCATTTGGTCAACCAGGGGAAGGAGACCAAAACTATGGCGATTGTTCTGTTCAGTTTCCCGGCAACACACTATTCCATACATCACTACAGTCGCTGTTCGCAGTGGTTCCGAGCCAAGTTCTACCAGCTGCCCAACGGTCCTTGCAGACCTTGTTCGACGAAGCACGGCACACAGCGCTCACTGCGTCAGTCCAGTTGCTGATTCTTTTCGTTGCCGCAGGGATCGCCACATCGCATCATGCCGTTGGTTACTCCTTATTCATATCCGAAAATGAAGTTTATTTTGTGAAATGAATGATTATTTACATCCTATTCAAGTTATACATATTTCCCTTTTATAATTATTATCATTTACATATTTTTGTTTTAATATTCGACACAGTCACAAAGGCTAAATTACTTACTTTTGATGGAAGTCATAATGATTAATGAGCCGTATATTTCAAGAAAATAAAAGAACAAGAGAAGCACGTAATTGCAGAAAACGTTGATATTTTTGAGAGCTAACCCTTATACATTTCATTGGCAATATTTTATAGTACACTTCTCGTTCTTGTTTCTTAATGATAAATATTTTACTTTTTCAATTCGAAATGTTGTGTGGTGCATTATATTCAAAGATCATAAAATACTAAGTAGGATAATTATTGAGTATTATTTTATTACTCATTACGATTAGTAATTTTGAGAGTATAACTTCTCATTCTATTAATTGTATGCAATTATAATATTTGCAAGACTGCGTGAGGCACAATTGCGTTGACGAATTGGGAAAAGAGCCTCTCCGCAAAGTGGAACAGAGGCTGGAGATCATTGGGGTGAGGCTTTTGGCTTGCTGTTGCCTGAAGATCGTTGCGTCCTCAAATAGCGACAGGAATTGGTCCTTTTATACATTCCCCTTTCAAAACCGATTCGAGATAGGAAATCGAAATGCGATTAAAAGTCTCTGATCTTAATGTTCAGCTGACCGTGTCGGCACTATTGAATTTTATCCGTTGCCTTCCTACACAGGAAAAGAAAACATCACTTGAAATAATTCTCATACATACTTCACCATATGTCTCCATTACCATTTATGATTCGTGTGCGTCGTATATCAACAACTTATGAGAACACACAACTATTTCCGTGAACCAATTGCTCATATGACTAACAGAAACCTGATTAAACCGCTTGCAGTCAGCCACGTTGAAGCGGTGAAGCACGTTTCTTTGCGTCTGCCCTTATTGGTGGAGTGTTCAATTGTCAATTCCAAGCGAGTGATGGGGCAATGACGCAAGTAACGCCCAGACATTCCAGGGACAGCGAGACGTGGACAAGACATTAATATACCATTTTTTCTAACACAGTAACTAATACATTGTTTATTGATTATTGATCATAAATTAAACGAAATTGGCGAGATAACTGTTAATGGTGAAAAGTGCCAGTCAGATTTACACTGGCTATCTTTTATTTAAAATAATCGTTTTACTTAATAATAAATAAAATAACATAACAAAATACGATTGAGTTTAGATAATACATTATATATTTTATATATAAGAAAATATTCTCGTCGCCCTTATTAAAGGTAATGAAGAAATGAAATTCAATTTTTGGAAATGGGATATTTTATTACAGTACATGAGATACTGCAATGGAAATTGTAGAATTTTAGTGAAACATCCTGAACAAGGAACGCAAGTACAGTGGACATTTTTAGAGGAACTTTCATTTGCCTTCTTGTAATTTCATTGCAAAAGCTGGGAGCGAGCGAAACGTGATGTGTGTATGCTGTTTGGCAGACGCTTAAACTCAACTATGTGCCGACGAGGGCTGGCATCGCTATTGATGAAGCTATCTTCTGAATTGCCCTTTGAAATTTACGTCTCTCGAAAGGGTCAACAAGAGGTTCCCGGCTGGCCCCCGTAGCGAGGAGGCGGGGGGGGGGCGGATCGAAAAAGAGTGGGGGTGAGGCGAAGAGACAGTGGTGGTAAGCCGGAGAGGAGGGGAGGAGCGGGTGGATCGGATCCGGGCGAGTCGCAGCAAATCGCGGTATAGTTGGGGTAAGTGAGACGAGGCATGCAGTACTAAGAGTGGGCAGGGCGGGAGTGCGGAGTTGGGAGGGGGTGAGACGAGTTGTGCTCTCATCCCTGGGACGAGCCTTGCAGTGCTGGGCGGTGCGTGGCAGGGCTGGGCGGGACGAGGCCTGCAGTATCTTGGAAGGGGGGGCGGATAGGGACGAAGAGATAGATCGAGGGCTGCAGTGCAGGGGCGGGACGGTCGAGGTGGTTCGAGGCTCGTGGTGCTGGGGCAGGGCGGGGGGGGGAGTGGCGAGGAACGCCGCCATGCGACGGACCGCGCGCGGCACGTCGCGCCGGCCGGCGATTGCGCTCGCGAATCGCGTGACGCGTGACGCCTGCTCGCACGTGGCGCGTGGCGCGGCGCTCGGCCGACGACGAAGCGTCGCGACGCCGCGGCGCGGCGGCTGACGCACGAGTGTCCGCTCCCTAGACATCCGAATCGGGTGAAAGACGGATCGGACGGCATTGAACTCCGCAAATTGAAAGGATGACGACTGAGTTGGCGTAAGCGGATGCGAGTCTGCTACTGGTCAGTCGGCCGGCTGCGATAGCAACGAGACGAACGCCGGAGCAGTACTTTAACGAACGAGCTACGGAACGCGCGCTATTTTTCCATCTTCATCTTTGTCTCCCTCTCCGTTTCACTTACGCTTACAAACATTACCCTATCACATATACCGAAAGACCAATCGCGGGCTTAGAGCCTGTCTTGGTTGGTGACCCTTATTTCCCCACTTTGGGGGAAATACCTGAAGATGGAAAACCTCGCAAGTTGTGTTGGTCGACGCAGGGGTACACTTGTGGTAGGGGAAGGATACCAACAAATACAATAAAAAATTACGCTTTTGGGATGTTTTACTTCAGCATTTGATGATTAGAATCAATACTCAGTCCTTCCCTAAACCTTGGAGCCGGAAAGGTCGTACATTCGATTACTGCTCTGCGGATTTTACCAATCAAGTAGATACTCCTTTCTGGAGAGAAAAAAGATTAGAGTGGCGCTTCTCTCAACGTTTGTTTCTGTGATTTGGTCCAGTTTATTGCTGGCATATATCAACTACAAGATGTGGGGGATCATTCCTTGCCCACGCTATACCTACTCCCAAAATTAGGATTGAATGAACCATTGAGCAGCAGATCGAGTAATACAGATGATATTCTAAAATGTGTAGTGCCGGAGAAGAGTTTCATTGGGAATAAGGAAGAATGATGTCTTAATTTTGGCGGGGTTGTAGAAACTTCTTACAACTTTGTCGCTCGACGTGCAAGTATACCAATGAAAACTGAGTTTCTCTGCTTCAGACTACAGTTGGTGTACTTGTGAAGAGTAGATGGCCCGTCTTAGTCAAAGCAAAATAAACATTTTTTAATGTTACTATTGTAATTCAAATAAAAAAATATAATTTATCGACACTCAATCTGTAGGAGGCTCCTAAGGTCCTCATGGTGTATTGTTAGTGTGCACGCATTACACTTCGGTTCCAGAGCGTTTCTTGAGTCATCTGGATGTACAAGAGTAATCCTCGAGATATTTATTCATAATAGTCTCCCATTGTGTTAGCTATTAATGTCGTATCTCCATTATTCATTTCCTATCATTACTTACTTTCAGTAATGCTAAAAAAATTGATAGCTGATCTATTTCTCATCTTTGTAACACGTTGTAACTCACATACAGAACCATTATCCTGGTGGGGATCAGCATACTATTGGTAAATAAAGGTTTGCTACTGTGAGAGCTTCACAAAACTTGACAAGAGAGTTTCTTGAGCTATTGAGACGTTTCATTTTTCTCTAAAGTTTATTCGTTTTGTTCCACATTTATCGATTCTATTTTTAACGGACACAGTTTCTGGACACGATAATTTCCACTCTTTACGTGCTTCTTATATCACATTCTTACCAAATATTAACTGATTGATATTTATACGATCAATAATTATGATTGTGATCGTTTGATGTCTGAATGTTTTTGCATCGCAACGGCGGCCGTTATTTCACGCAAAACTCAAAGAGAAGTTAGAGATGATCACTAAGTTGTTTTAAACATCATCATTAAAGATCATGAAAAATATAAGCTTTAATTAATCAAATCATAATTTTAATATTTTAAAAATACAACGCTGAGAAGATACGAAATGTTCTGGTGTACATTTCTCGTTCCATTGAATCTTATTTGTGCTCTACGTTATCGTCCAACAAACACAGTTGATAAGTTTAATTGCTAGTTAACTGCATACAAATTCCCCACTAAATGTTTGCAGATAACAACAGAGAATTATAAGTTTTAACATGACACGTTGAATTGGAGATAAAGAACACGAGGCCTGTCTGAAGTCAAGAGAACAGAATTATCAGCAATATCAATTCATTTGTTATCATTTTGAAACTCCTATACTAAAAGTTCATTTATGAAATTTTGCCATAAATATAAAACAAGCAGAGATGAGAACACAATCCAAATTAAAGTTCTGTAGAAATACTTTAATAGAAATTTCGTTTGGATGATATTTTCAACAAAACATTTTGCATTAAAGTAAATTATATTGTCTAATGCCCTTAGAAAACTGCTACACTACCGACCGACAGACATCAAAATTAAAATGTTTTGTTGTAATACAATTCTCTGTCAGAAATGCACAGATACCACATAACCACTAACAGTTGTAAGTTAGAAAGCTCTCACTGATGCCCAGCTAATGAGTAGTAGAGATCTTCCAAAAGGAAGAAAATCATTTTTATATTTTTTTATATGAAGTATACATGGCACCATTAAAACTTCATGAAAGTAATAATAGCTCAAATACTTTACGAAGATGTATGTGTATGAATACAGTGTTAAGTATCAACTTATGATTTTGTTTTTCTCAAAATTAATACAGTAACTAGAATACTCACTTTCACGAATCAAACGACAGCAAGAAACAAATTAGAGCGCAAAAACAATTTTTATCTAGAATGACTGAGACAAATTATCAGCAAATAGCTCCTAATAATGAACGACGATAAGGCAGAGATGCTTCCGTGTTGTTTTCGTTTAGGTTCACAGAACGCAGCGCTTTTTAGGACACATACCCTGAGA